CGTGTTTTGTTAGTCGAATTTTATAGATATTTTTATATATAAGTAAATGTGTGTTAAAACTTGCATTTCGGAACATGATTTGGGGAAAAACATTGAAATGGAATCTGAAAAATTAAATCCATAAGAAATTATATCCTCTTTCTCATTAATTTTCTGATATATCTTTAATCCACTTTCAATTAAAACTTGAGCTCAGCAACCATAAGAAAATTTTATAGATATTTTTATATATAAGTAAATGTGTGTTAAAACTTGCATTTCGGAACATGATTTGGGGAAAAACATTGAAATGGAATCTGAAAAATTAAATCCATAAGAAATTATATCCTCTTTCTCATTAATTTTCTGATATATCTTTAATCCACTTTCAATTAAAACTTGAGCTCAGCAACCATAAGAAAATAACCGCAGAAAAAAACAACGCTTCGTAAATCAACTTCTTGTGGCAAACAAGCGTCGAAAAACTTAATATGAAGAAACATTCTTGTTGGCAACTTTTTGCACACATCGCCAAGATGTCAGAGTTTATGCATGCCAAGGACAAATTATGATAATGTGCCTCACCGACCCGGTTTCCGATTATATTCCATCCCTTAGAGAGAAGAACATATTGAAATTCTCAGACAAACCAATTGTCAAATTAGTTGTTCTTGTACGTCTGCCAAAGTTAAATTTATGGCACAAACGCATTGCCCAAGTGCAGACTGATGGAAATAGATAAGTAACAAAAAAAATTGAAGGCGAGGAATTCGTGCAAATAAATTGTGTAGGTTTTTGCCAAAGGGAAAGTGTTTTAATTGCGCATACGCCATGTGGGCCAGCCCTGAACCTAAATCATTTTGAGTTTGTGTGAGTGTGCTATATAGGGGAGAGGTTGATTTTAGGGGGATATGGTCGCCATTAAGCAAAAGTGTCAAAGGCTGTGGCAGCGATAAAACCGTTTTCCCAGCAATTTATTTATGTCGATTTCCATTTTCATTTTGTTTTATTTCACTCTGCGTTTTATTTACTCAGCTAGCCGGGCCTCGCCCTCGAAATGCGATTTGGACACGCACCATTTGCAGGACCCTAAGACCCCCGAAAACCCCCTTTTAGAGGACTTAGCGCCATATGGATTCGGAGACGTTCCAGTCGGACTTCACTTTGTCCCATAAATTAAGCACAATTAAATTGGTTAAAGCGACATGGGACGCGATAAACGTCAGGGATCTGGTAGGAAAATATTTGTTAGGGATATATGTATTTGCCGTGCCCCCAGAACCAAGATATTTCAGCATTTCAAGGGAAACGCTCGAGTAAGCCGCATAAACAGCTGATTTTTTGGCGGCTTTTCCAGCGAGAGAGACTGGAAAGCGTTTCGGAAAAGCCGAGAGAGCCATGCAAAATATTCGGAGTAAGAGCGCAACAGGAAAATGTCAGGCTCTCATCAGCTGTTATTTTCAGTAATGCTAAGCGCCTTAAAAAGACCTGTTAAAAGGACCATAAGTAGTATTTCAAGAATTGATATTGATTGATGTGAAATTATTCTTGTGCAATGTGGTTCCCCGAAACTTTTAATTTACGCAAATTTATCAGTTAAGATTGATGTGCTTAGAAGTTAGTCCATCATATTAAATTAAAAGTCCTTTGTTGTGGAATTTTCAATTATTTGGTAGAACTAATGAATTCAAATTTTCTTAAAAATAATATTTTGTGGACCAAATAAATGTATAAAATTACAAAGCTTAAAGGGAATTCAATGGTGTGATAACTTTTGGATGCTGAATTGTTGGATAGGTAATTAAATGCTTCAACTTTAAAATAAGTGAGTGACGATTTTACATTCTTTGAAATCATTTTCAAGGTTTATGTAGCTAGAAAAAGCTGTCCCTACATTATTTTAAAAGTAACCTCCCTAGATATGAATTCGTTTTAAAAATATCCTTGTTTCTCTGGCTAGAGTGAAATGTTTGACAGTCTGTCCTGGTGTTGAAAAGGGTTCGAATAGGGATTAGCCAACTGGGGCCTTCCAGGAGTATGAGTTAATGGGATTTAGGATGGGCAAAACAAATCTGACAGCTCGAATCAGCAGCTGTTTATCTGCGAAGGGTATTTTTTAATTTGTAATTAGTTAGTTTAACAACCTAGGTAATTTGTAAGAGATGCGTTGGCAATTAATTAAAAGATAATGGGTTTTATTATGTAGTATACGAGGGGTTGCCTTTGAGAGAACTAAATGGGGGTGCTTACATTTTTTTTATTAAAGAATCCTTTTTATATTAATCTATAAATATGTTTACAAATCCTTAACCAAGTTCGATTATTTTCTTTATGCTATAATTATATTCTTAATCATCAAATTTCCTGGGGACCAGAGCTTTGTTTAAAGCGTATTAGCTCACTAAATGTTGTAATAATCTTGGCACACAAAAGGCCAGCAGCAATTTCCCCTTCCTTTGAGAATGGCTCACAATTAGAAGCCGAGGATAACCAGGACACTTGTGCAGCTCGTCCACACCTCTCCGCATAATCCTGCCCACTCATTATGGTCCCGACTGGGACCTCCACGGAGGCAGTGGAACACGTGTCTGGCCCCGCCTGTTCTATAATTGCGCATGGAGCCCTGCTTGACTCTGGTTTTCCATCTGTGTGCATAACCAAAAAGTTTATATAAAACTCACGATGACGCCGACGATTCTGCGTCTGTGTCAGGTGCCCTCGCCCACTGACATTCGCATAAGACTGTTTAACAAATTAGGCAAATATTTGTCAGACATATATATTTGTTTCTTTTAACTCAAGAAATATTTGGAGTTTTTCTTGGCTACCTTATAGAAGCATTTAATAGTAACTTATAATGTGAACAATTAACTAGTAAACAAAAGTTTTTAACGTCACTTTGATTTACATTTGCCTATACTTTAACAAGAGATACTTTTAAGAAGACAAATTTGAAAAGGAAATTAACATTGTGTTCGTAATATAGAGAAATAATAAAGATAAGCTCCATGTTAAAAAGGTATATAATAAAACCCATAAAAGGGACCATGATAACATAAACAAATCAAGATATTAAGGTAAATAAAGTAACAATGTTTTACAGATTCCAATGTTTAAGATAAATTGTTACGAAATATATTAAATATAAATTAGCATTTTAAATGTAACAATAAAGTACAATAATAAAGATTAATTTAAAATTAAATGGTTGGGACTATGATGCATAATTACATCAAGATATCAAAGAAAATGAAAAACAATGTTTACAGATTTCAAAGATACATTTAAATTAATATGATTTTTATTTAAATTTTTAATGACTTTACATAATTTAAGTTTTTGTATAACTTCGTAGCCTCTTAAATAATTTTTCCGTTGTTGCTCAGTGTAATCCCATTGCGGAGGTATGGCAAAATGACGATATTAGCCGGGCCTGGATGGCCTTACATAAGCAGGAGGTGCCGTAAGTGGAAATAGACGACAATGGAGTTTGCAATACTCGGAAGGATGTCTGTCAGTCTGTCAGTCCGTAACTTAGTCAGGTGGGATAAGTGGTAATTAATTTCATTGTGACATTCCGACATGGGCGATATAAGGGCTACGCGGAAAATATAAATATTTGGGGACAACAAATTGCATTCCAGCTGCAATTGTCACTATCGGCAATTGAGTCAGAGTCAGATTAAGTGAATGAAATGAAATGCGCTGTCAAATGAAACAGAAATGCAGGTTGACCTCGACCCCTGGCAAACGATTTAATTGTTCAACCCCTCGGTCCAACTTTCACAATTTTTCCAGCCCCAATTCGCCAGTCAAAGGCAGGGAAAAATTAAATTTTTTATGACAGGACCAATTGTTTGGGTGGCTTTTTTTTAAATATTGTGAGGCCATCATTTATTTGATTACGCCTGGTCAAGTCAAGTTGCCATCTCCGTTTATTTATGTAGGCATGTCTTTTTTCTGCCGAACGGGCTTGTTGAATGCTGAAATGGAATACATAATTCAAAAAGGTCTCGTATAACGATATAAATATTCAACTTCAACCGAATTGAATGGGCGTAGAAATTGCGAGGCTCTGAAGAGGAATCACGCATCAATTGCGCACTGCCAATGCAATTTAAGAGATCGCAATACCCACTCATTTTTAGCACCATTTTGGTGCGAAATTAAATTTGCACTCTGCTGCAAAAACTTGTAATGTCCTTGGCCAATTTTCGACGCTGCATAGCTAATGGGGCAACAGCTGCAGTGTGCTGGCTGCCTTTCTAACCGAACAAAAGGGCATTATGTTGGCCGGGAAGGGAAGTTGGCCGGGTTGGTGATTTCACACAGGAACCCAAAGAACCCCTCCGTCTGCCAACTTGTGCATTGTGCCTGGAACCAGGCCATAAAGTTGAGCCTAACCAGGCCGAAACTAATCGCGTTTTGCGGCACGGCAGACTTGACTGACTGCTAAATTAATTTATAATAAGCGCACCTTGATGCCTGATTAAATTGCACCCCACAAGTCAAGTGTATAGGTTCCATTGTGCACAGGAAAACTTTCGGAAGATGTTGGACTTGAGTGAATGAAGAAAAAGTCCATTAAAGACTTTAAACTAATGTATTTATAGTATGTCAATAGATTATAGACTTGCAAAAAGGAGAAATTCATTATCAATTTCTGATTTAAGACATTTAACTGAACTATGATAATGATACTGTGTTGTATTTTTATTTTAGTTTTCTTTAACCCAGAATAGTTTATTATAAACAGATCCAAAAATAAATGGAATATTTTTACTCACTCTTATTGAAAATGAGATTTCCATTTGAGAATATTATTGAATGTTTAACCGAACACCTGAAGACCGATGAAGTTATAACTAAAGAAGTTTATTTATTACTGGGAATTTCGCCCATTGGTTATGTGCTATGATTATCCTTGGATATCTTTCTGTTTTGTAACTATGCACCCAAAAAAATGAAGATAAGAACTTGATACTTCAATACTATTTTATTATTTGGAAGATTGTGAAGGCTTAGATGGTGATGTGCTCAAATCTGCGATCACGGAAGCCGCCTTCACGGATGCCATTTTCACGGAAACCTGTTTCACTTCTACGTCCTCCAAAATATCCTTCTCGGAACCGGTGACCCCCTAATCTGCGGCCACCTCGGTTGCCCCAACAGACCCTTCGGACGCGGAACCTTCGAAGCCTGAGCCTCTTGCGAGTCTTTTGCGTGGTAGCGGTGTCTGAAGAGGGGGCTGCAGCATCTGGGGTTGTTGGAGAAGTCGGAGAAGTTGGAGAAGTTGACGAAGTTGGATCCGTCGGTGAAGTGGGAGACGTCGTTGAAGTTGGAGATGTAGGATCATCGACGGCAACGACAGCTGCGATCAAAGTCACTAATCCCAGAAGCAGGGAGAGTTTAGAACACATCTTGAGCTGTGTTACTAGATCACTGTAAGTATTTCGAGTAAGTCCACCTTTTTATAGGTATAAACCTAAATGATCTTGTGTTCATACCACCCAATCTTTGTTTGCTCTGACTCTTCTTTGGCAAAGACAGATGTCTGACGAACAAATAGAAGATACAAACGTTTTAATTTAAACAATTGAAACTTAGTGGGTTTTTTGGAGACTTTGGAGTATAAGTCTATATCTTTGCTATTTCTCAGCGGTCTTTTTTATTTGTGTTATTAAGTTCTGAAATCAAGTATTTTCCGTCTTGAATATTCGTGCTTGAAAGCTGCATTCTGTTCTCGGGTACTGTATTTTCCATGCTTAGTGAAGTTTTGACACCGAAAACACTTGATTCAAGCACTAAATACTTCATTTTTTTCTGAGTGTGGAGATATATAAATGTTTTTACAAAAACATCTATACAAATAAAAAAAGTTTTATTTATGTTTTTAAAAGAAATTTTTTTATACGAAATTTACTGTTTCCTTATATTTATCTACTAAATACGAGTATTATGAAATGAAACAAAATTTAATTTTAAAACAGTAGTACTGAATATATATAGACCACTCTTCCCAATAGACTTGTTAACCTATGTAATTACTTTAACGACCAGTTCTAACACCATATAATTGTCGCCTCATTCCTTAATAAACATATCCGCATCCATATAAGCATATCATGTATCCCCCAGCATACTCACAATTTGCCATGAGTTGGCAAAAATTTATCGCTTATGGCATCAACAACTGTTGCCCATATATAAATTTGTGTGTGCTATATTTATCAGACGCAGCATGACGCTCATTATTTTCCAGCCCACGCTCCAGAGGTTCCCAACTCCCCCCATAATCCCATCCAGTTTTCTCCCAGCCAAACAGAACCCTTAAAAAGCCCTTGGGCCAGAAGGCATTTCGTGCTGAAATATAATGAAAACGGGAGGCTATACAAAAACATTTCGTGTTAAATATTTTACATGCAGATTGCTGAAAAACTTGCCCAACATCCTTTGTCTTGTAGCACGTGGAAACTGTGATTTTTTCTCTCTTTGGAGCAACGTTTGTATACTTTTCGCTAGATTACACTTGGAAAATGTTTGATTTTAGCATGGCTCTAGTTAAGCCTTAAAAAATTCAATCATATAATTTTTTGTTATAGTTTTATTTTTGTGCGTCCCAGTATGTTGTTTACAAAAAGTGATATTTTTTCTGTTTAAGAGTTAATCTGGATTCAGGCTTATAGTAAAAACCTTTGAGTCTATAATGTTAATTTGGCTTTTGTAAGCATATGCATAGTATTTAATAGTATAAAAAACGAAGGGATTTTAATTGCATTGCTCTGAGTTAAAAAATCACCCTTTTTTTTAGGGGTATTTAAATGTATGTATTACTTCTCAGTTCTATTTTCATTTTAGGGGACATCTGGCTGTGAATGTAAAAATTCAAATTGTCAACAGTTTTCAAGCGTTGAGCCTTTTTTTTTGGGTCGCAGGCCTTTAAGACAAGGCTCATGACTTGGCCAAGATGTAAAAACTTAAGGATATTGGGGGAGAAAAAAATCTGTGGCAGAAGTGGCAACGTCATATATGGATCAGCTGCTCCATTTTCGAGCTACTCGGCAGCCTGAAGCTGTTTTTGTGTCTTGATTTCATGTTAAGACATTTACAAATTACTCCCTGCCCCAAGGTTCACACTTGTTGGTCTGCCTTAAATCCGACTCTTATTTTTGGCCAAAACCAATGGCTGCAGTTTTTCTTTTGGGCTACGATGTCTGGCCCACTGGGAAGGTTCAAACAGTTCAAATGTCAGACTGGCAAATTGAGTGACAATGATGCGGTCGATGCCTGAATTGGAGTTTGTTTTTCTTTATTTATGTCCATTATTTTTTTTGGGTCAAGAGATCTTTTGGCTTGTATTTCATTTTACCTTTCAATTCCAAACATATTTCAAACTTGTGATTTATTATGCATGTCATAGATAACTACATCTTGATAAAATTTATTACAGGCTGCTATGGATATTTTACCAAGACAAAATAAAAATAAAACACTCACAGCAATATTATAGTACATTTTCTTTTAACAAGCAACTTAAACATCGGGAAATGTTGGGCGTAAAACTACAATTATTTATTCTCCACCAATTGGGTCAGTAATTATTTGAAACTTGCCAAGAGCAGTTAGTAGAATGCTTAAAATAAATTACTTAATTATTTTAAATTTGTGTTTCAGTGATTTCCGCTGGCAACCGTCCAGAAATAGCATTCAATGCCTCCCTAAATTATTTTTCATGCCAAGTCCCTGTTAAGATTTCTTTCCTGTGCCATAACTTATGAGGAAAGGACTCTCAGGAGCTCGTAATCTGCCAATTGCATGGTTAACATATATAGAAACTACATCGGCACCATTATGCCAGCCCATCGACCCTGCTTAAAGTCAGTCAACAATCGGGGCCAAGTGGCTGCAGCTCCTCCATTCAAATTGCAATTGAGGCGAGGTTCCTTCGTCCAACAACACATTATGGCAATTTGCTCGGCATAACAAGAAGGGATTTCCCCAACTTCAGTGGCTTTTCAAGGGACTGAGAGGGCAACTAGTCGCTTATTACCCCGTTCATTAATTTCCATTGCAAATGTTTTGCTCGACTGGGCCGAAACGCCATCAAGCCATCATCATAGGCAGCATTAACACCGTAAGCCAAATTGGGTTAATTACCATCGTGTATGACATTTAGCCATTTTGTGCAGTGACCCAACGGAACCCTTTGACCCTCCCCGCTCAATGCAATGTGGGTGTTGTAGGACATGTAAAAATGGCACATCATCAAACGTGGCAATTTGCATAAACTTTATCCACGCATCGCGTCTGGAGCTGCAAAAACAAATGCCATGGCAAATTGGTAAATTTATATCAAAGAAAAGCACAAGAAAAAGGGTTAAGGGGGTTAACCAGTCGAGTTATGGCGTTTTTATGAAGTCAGCTTCATCTCTTCCCCAGACGGAAAGCAATTACTCAACGTTTGAGTTTTATTGGGGCTCAATGCTGAGACGAGTGGGCTCATCTCTCATACGGGGCTGATTCATGGCCGTAGTTAGCATGTCTGTCTGTCTAACCCCCGACCCCTGAACCTTAACCCACTAAGCCCATCGCTAAAGGCCTGTCTATGCTGTCTGCTCGCGTCTGCCAATATGTTTGTCTCAGCAAAGAGATAAGAAAACCAACAAGTTTATGCCTCGGGATCAATAAGGCATTGGATAGGCGGAGAAATGTTCCATCAACCCCACATATATAAATTTAGCCGTAGGATCTTGGACGAACTTTAGGTCGTCTGGGGTCATAGGTTTTCTTAATTGGTTTGAAAAACGAAATAAATATTTTGTATGATATATTTTGTATGATATATGATATGAATCAGAATCAGCAGTTAGCTAATCCGAAATGCATTATTCCTGAAATTAATATAAATATATTGATGGCAAATACAAATGATGTTATATTTCTATTATCGACCTGGTATTTTATAAAATGGCATTGAACAGATGTTTTCCCACAGACCATCCCATATCTTCTCGATTTTAATCAATTAAAACCAAACATTTCGGTATTTCCATCCATCTGACAATAATTTGATTAGCTCGTCTCATGTTAGGTATAATTAAATAAAAAGAACGATGCTGGAATTCAGCTCTTTTTGTCAAAACAAACAAATTTCTATTGATATTTGTCATACAAAGACGACGAGAAAAAAAGAAAGTCATCTTCATAACACTTGCTGATAATTCACAACTGGCAAATACAAATTTCTTATAAATACTCGAGCTTTTGTGTTGACTGGCAGCAGAATGTCGTGGGAGAGCACACACATTCCTTCGCTCCAGGCACTCGACTCTAAATCTGTTTATGCAGAACATTTTCCATTAAATTTAAATCCTTTTCCTTTTCTGTTTGCCTTTCGAATAAAAACACGCCGTGGGCCATTTCGAGAGCAGTGTTGACCTATATAGCTTTTTGTTTTACTTTATTCCCGACCCTGTACACTTCTTGTTACCAGGCTCCCCGTCAAGTTGGCCGATGTGTGTGCACTTTTTGCCCAACATCCTTTGACTGATTTGCTTACATTTTTGATGCCAGGCGCAAAAAGCATCAGAATCAAATCCCGTTATGCATGTCACAGAACAACTGCAGGAATGGCAGGACAATATTATCCTGCGACTGCAGCAGCACGGAATACTACAATAGACAATGCCGAATAATCCATATATGGACCATCGCTGTTCGGGGCACATATGTGACGGGATCCGACTCTATTTCATGCCTGTGGCCCCGAGGTCCCAACTTTCTGTTGTTGATTTAAACCAATGCCAGTCTGGCATTCGAATAGTTAAATCCCTTCATCTCCCTACCCAGAACTCCTTGACTTGTTGGGTTTTATTCAGACGCGAGCACAAAGCTTATTTTATTTCAATATTTTCATGGATTAATGTCAGCCCTTCGGGTGAAACAGCCCACAGGGAATTGTTGTCATGGCAACTTGCCGTCTGAGTCTATGCAATTCACCTTAGAAATTATTTGTGTAATTTGCTTTGCACTCCACTCGTGATAAATTATCCTTGTTTCACTAATTTACAGGGAACTTTAGTTATATTGTGCTGTAGTATCTTCAACAAGCATATCTTTGAAATTAATTGCAAGTGCCATAGGGACTTAAAAGTTAATTATTAAGGTGTTTATTAGTTTAGGCAATCACTTTTCGGCTTTATTTGCCTTAAATCATACAAATAAAGGCTTGTCAATTTGGTATTAACATTTGTAATGCAGAACCTTGAACAATACATGATCTGCCGCAACCAAATTAAATTGAATTTTGCATTATGTTCAAGAGTGAGTGAATGACACGACTCTATAAATAAACACAGTTAATGTTATGCCTGTTGCTAAGACAATATATATATTGCCGAACCTTTTAGCCTTAGTCCCACTCAGCC